ATGGAAGATTGCAAACAGTCGTCACCTGCTTTCATTACATAGTGAATCGTATCATGATTTTGTACCATTCCGAATTAGAATTTCTTCTGTAAAGTAAAAACAGTCCCAAAATGAAGGATCTTCAGGTGTCATGGGAATAGCAGATGATATTAAATCATTAAAGGTAAGGATAGTAAACTGCCTCTGGGATGGCTTCGAGTCATCTGAAGAAGGCACCTAAAAGGGGAGAAAAATCCCTTATTATACCGCATAATTCTAGGATTATGAAAACAAGACAAAATTTCTATAGTACTAAATTAAAATACAGTAGAATTTCCAGAATTATTTTTACTACAAATGAAATAGAAAACGTGGTTCCTGAACTGTTGACAACCACCTCTGGATATACTTTACACTGTGCAGACCACACTTTTCAAACACAGATTGAACCCATGTTTAGTAGTTTGCAGCGCGTCTGCTTTGCCTGTGTGGAGTTGGTGCAGGCGTAGAGCACTCCCTTCTTTCAGCCCTGCTCCCTCGCTTCCCTGCTTCCATCTCTTGAGGGTGCCCATCTGAGAAAGATCTAGCTCCCTACTTCCTATTAGCTGTCTTTTACTTTGTTCTTTATTTACAATTTGGGTTTCTCATGTAAGAGAAGCCACATGACATTCAAGCTCGTGTGTCTGACTTCTTTTTTTTTGTATTTTAGGGAAGGGTCTACAAGGTGTTCAGGGCCCCACTACTAGACCAGACTCGCAGTGACCTGCCTGTTCACAGCCTATGGAGACAACTGCTCCTTGTTCAATGAGAGTCACCTGGTGCTCCTCCACACGCCTGGCAGCTCACAGGCTGAGGCTGTTTTATAGTGATCAACGTTAGTCTGAATTTTCCCACAAATGATTTATCTTTTTCATGGCAGCATAGCATTGCACTAGGTGTAAGTACCCTATTTTCTTTGTCCATGCATCTGTGGATGGACCTACGGGCTGTATCCAAGACTTGGCTACGATGAAATGTGATGCCATGCGTGTGTGCTCCACCGTGATGTGGTAGCTTTCACGTTTCCAGGAAGCTATCCAGAAGGAATGCAATTTCCAGGTTTAGCTCTTGAGGAAGCTCCATGCTGACTGCACTACTCGCCGTCCCACCAACAACGAGGCCCCGCCCACAGCCTACCCAGCACCTGCTGCCTACCCAGCACCTGGCCCCGCCCACAGCCTACCCAGCACCTGCTGCCTACCTAGCACCTGGCCCCGCCCACAGCCTACCCAGCACCCGCAGCCTATCCAGCACCTGGCCCCGCCCACAGCCTACCCAGCACCTGCTGCCTACCTAGCACCTGGCCCCGCCCACAGCCTACCCAGCAACTGCTGCCTACCTAGCACCTGGCCCCGCCCACTGCCTACCCAGCACCCGCTGCCTACCTAGCACCTGGCCCCGCACACAGCCTACCCAGCACCTGCTGCCTACCTAGCACCTGGCCCCTCACACAGCCT